TAGGAACAATTGAGGATGGCCCAGGTCGGGGCAGTTTTTGTTCCATTGAACATGGGTCTTTACGGGTTGGACCAAGAGCCACATTATGTAACAGACTAACAGTGTTCACTGTACTCCTGCTAAGAGTCACTAATGCCTTAAAATCGAATCAGAATAAAGAACTAATTCCAGAAAACCCAGGACCAATTCAGGAAGCTCACCTTTTAAAATTAGATTCCTTTAAGATCCATATAGATATAAAAATCTGTGTTTATTTCCTGTGACTTCCATAGCAAAGTGCCACAAACTGCTGGCTAAAACAACAGAAATGTATCCTCTGTTCCAGAGACCAGAAATCCAAAATCCAGCAGGGCCTTGCTTCCTCTTCAGTGTTAAGCAAGAATCTGTTCTTTGGGAGATTCCTTGAGTTATGATATTACTCCCGTGTCTAGTCTTCATATCAGCTTCTCCTTCATGACTCCCTCTTCTCTTCTGTCCCTTAAAATGACATGGCATATTGGATTTACGGTCTTCACAGGTCATCCATGATCAAATCTCAGGATCCTTAACTTTTAAAAATCTACACAGGCCATTTTTCTGAAATTCGGTCGCATTCACAGGCCCCAGAGTTTTGGAATTGGACTCCCCTCTTATGGTATCACCCTTCAGCCCACTAAAGGAATCCATATAAATCATGTTCATATGCTGATGAATAGAGCTCCCTCACCATTTGTTACCCAACTCTCTATATTTGTTACCTAGCTTCCTATTCTGCGTTTCCCAAGACACTGCCAAGAGATAAGGATCTCTGTAAGCTTGCACAATTGACTTTTTAAAAAAAACAATGCTATTGGCATGTATTTCACTTATCCTTCAGTTAAATAGTTAGATCACACCAAGAAGAATTGGACAGTCAGCACCACAATCAGTTTTAGAACATTTCCTTCATTCCCTTTTAAAAAAAATAATTTTTTAGGAAGCTAATCCAGACATCAAAACATTTCATAGTTCAATCATATCAAGCAGCATTGTACAACTACTACCATAATCAATTTCAAAACACTTTTCCCTTCTTATACTCCTGGATATTTGCTCCCCCCTTACCCTCCACCTTCCTCACAGGGCCCCCTAAGGATCTTTATTCTAGTTGTTGTCTCAAAAGCTTCACCTATCCTAGGTTTCAAATACTGAGAAACATAGAAAAACACATAACAAAGATTCAAGAAGGCTACCAACAATGACAAAAATACAACAGAGATAAACCCCAATATGAAAAAAAAACCAAAAACCAAACACAGAATATATTAAAAAGCAAATCAAGCCCAAAGTGTATCAGAAGGGAGATCAAGTGACAAAGTTTTAACCTTTCAAGTCAGATTGATCATTTAATCTACTACAGTGTCTCTCCAATATGCTCTGTCTGATCACCTGGTTATTCTTAATCACCTGAGACTTATTTCCTGTGTATGTATTTTGGCCTTTCACTGTCATCCACAGCCTTGTACACATAAGAACTTCACAATTTAAGCTCCTATACTATTCCCTCCTTCAAATTTGGATTACACAATTTACAGTCCTTGGATCACAGATATTGGTATGTTTCTTCCATGTGGGCTTAGTTGACATCTCAGTTAGATGGCTGCTTCTTTGGAAACTAGCCTTTAAGACCCCAGGCACTATTCTACCAGATGACCCTGTACTATCTAATTTCTTCACCATACTTTGCTATAGCACCCATATCTTCTGTGTTTCTTTCAGGAGAGCAAGTATCGAGCTGAGTCCTATCATAATAGCACCCACCCCCTGCCCCAGTGGGCTGTGCCCACCCAAAAGCCCTGTTGGCTAGGGGGACACATTGTGCACCCTGAGTCGTCATGGGAGCAGGGCCACCTGGCCTGAGGGGGGTGACCAGGCTGAACCAAGCCTGTCTCTCTGTTTTCTGGGTGCTCTGGCCACGCCCCACACCAGGGAGCTTGGAGAGGCCCAATGCCCACCCCCTGCAGGGTCTGTGCCCGCTGGAGGCACAGAGGCCGCAGCAGGCAGGCGGCCCTGCCGTGGTGGCAGGGCTGCGGC